GTACTATATAAACATTTTATTTTTGCTCAGACTGAACGATTATAAGTTTGTCGTGGGCGAAGAGAGGGATTTAGATCCCGGAGAAGAACCTGGACTCTGGCTGTTCAACCTGACAGGTAAGATTAATTATCTTAATCGCTCTGTGTATGCTATTTCTTTCTCTTATCTATCAATCTATCTATCTATACTCTCTCTCTCCTCTCTCTCTCTCTCTCTCTCTCATGTGTGTGTGTGTGTGTGCTTAAAAACGAGTAGCTTTGCATTCATGTCTCCGCGCGTACCTTAATTCCTGCCGCTCCTCTCCCCTCAGTGGATCCGAACGAAATCATAAACATGGTCGAGGTGCAGCCTGCCTTGGCCATGGCCATGGAGATGCTCATGCTGGAGGAGCTTCCCAACGTGGTTCCCCGAGACGAGCCAGACAACGACCCGGCGGGCGACCCCTCCAACTGGGGCGGCGTCTGGAGTCCAGGCTGGTGCGACGTCCCCTGAAGGAGGCGGGGCGTGGCAGCTGTATGGGCGTAGGAGGAAGGCGAACACAGCCTATACTTACTATTGGTGAACTAAGAATTTGGATTTTGATGGAGTGTTCGCAGACGAAATTTAAATAAATAGTTGATATCCTGACCTGCTTATTATTCTGATGCATTTCTCATATTAATTAATAAATGTCAGTTGATATTAATCATTCGAATTTTATGTTGTTAAGATAGGGGATCGTATACAAATACATGCAATGGGATACACATGCTTTGATTATTTGCCATCTATTGCACAATATGAGGATGGTGACATATTCAATTTAGTTATTTCCTGTGTAACATCAATATGTAGATCATATTTTATCATATGTATCATTAGAACACGACCTATCTCTTCATAATTAATTTTTCAAAAATGGTTGTAGAATTTTCATTGGAAACGTAAAATTCATTTCATTAATTCTTACAATAAAATTCTGGACATGTGAAGAAAAAAAAATCAGCTCTCCTTTCAGATAACCTCCATGAAAGTTTTCATGTCACAAGAAGAAAAAATCCTTCTGGTACTCATAGTTCCACCCCCCCCCCCCCAAAAAAAAAAAAATGCACCATCGACTCCAAAACATTGGCATAACATAAAATTAAATGGTGTTTTAAAAATGTGAAAGGATGTAATCTGTCTTTCTCTTGATCTTAAAATATATGTAATTCGACTCTTCTGTTGAGTAACTGAACTGTAACCTAAACCACATAAACAGTTAGCCCAATAACTGTCAGTCAATCTTAGCAAACATTGTATTTGGTCTGCCATTGCCAACCTCGGGCTAACTAACAACAGGCCAGGACACTTCATGGTGAAAATGTTTCCTGCGTTTGTGCAATAACACAAAATATTATCATCGTAACATAGTGATGTTGATATAATATTGTGTTTAATCACTGACTAGAAAAAATACATACATGAAAATAAGTAGATAGACAGATTTAATGATAAATGGATAGATAAATAGATAAATCGACAGATAGACAGACAGACAGACAGAGACAGACAGACAACAGACAGACAGACAACAACAGACAGACAGACAGACAACTGACAGACACAGAGACAGACACAGAGACAGACAGATAGACTGACAGACAGACACAGGCAGGAGAGACAGACAGACAAACAGACAACAGACAGACAGGCAGATAGAGATAGACTGACAGATAGACTGATTGACTGGTTGATTAATTTACTGAATAAGTGATTGACAGATACATGTACAGAAGATATATGTATACATAGGTAGGTAGATTGATTCAATGGAAATTACTCTATATGCAGTCTCATTGTGTTATTTCCATACATAAGAGGCGGGAACTATAAATAACATAAATTTCTGTGTCTGAATCTCAACTTTTCACAACATAATTTTATAGTTACGTGTGTCAATGACAACTACCGATTGGTATAACTGATTCTATCTTGATATACATGTCATCTCGCAGCACAGAACTCAAACTTTAGTATAATAAAAACATGTCTCATCTGCGTGATTCCTCGTGAGTTTATGCATGGTGGACCGTCTGTGAGCGTTGCCTCCATGGTTCACTTTTCACTGCCTTTGGTCGCCTTCTTAGTATTTATATAAGCACATAATATAGATGTGTCTATATAAGAATGTTTATATATTCATATTTGGTAATTTTCTATATTACCTTCGCCTCGCCGATATCGACGATTTTGGTATCGTTGGATTCCTCTCACTGTCCACATTCCAAATATGTAGGTTTTATTGCGCGGAAACCCCCGTTAGCGAGAAACTTGGCCCCGATTGCAAGGGAGGGCATGGAAGGTTCTAGAGAAAGACACGATTGTAGTATAATCAGGATGAACAGAGTATACCATGAACAGAAGAGCGCCCTCGTCGGCGGGTTTTGCGCCTCTCTCGATGTTACGCCGATGGCCTCAAGGTCGAGTTTCCCGTCCCCTGGAACCATGATTTTCGAAATCCTAACCGAAATAACCGTCGCATTCAGTACTTCTCCATGGCCGCCGCGATGACAGTGTGTGAAAGGTGCTCCTACTCCGAGATAGATTTTCTGCGCGAGGTAGCAACAAGCCAGGATGAGATGCTTGAAATGTGCTTCCGTCACGGCCTCCTCCGTCGGGAGAGAGCCTGCGGCAGGTGCGGCCAGCCAGCACGCCTGGACATGAAGCAGAAAAGGTTCAGGTGTGATAGGTCCGTGGCGGTCAGGAAGCAGAAGAGGCAGAGGTGTGACTGGTCCGCTTCGATGTTCGTGGGCTCTTTCTTTGAGCAATCTCGCCTCGATGTTGAGACCCTGCTGATCTTCGTGATCTTCTTCGTCCGGGAGAGGTTCACGTTCCGGCTCATGCGGCACGAGCTGGGAGTGAGCTCAGCGACCTTCACCGACTGGTCGAGTTTCTGCCGGGAGGTGATGGTTCACTGGGCTCTTGATCGGCAGGGTATGATCGACGCCAAGGAAAGATCGTCGAGATAGACGAGAGCAAGTTCGGGCGCCGCAAGTACAACGTGGGCCGAGTGATTGACGGGTAGTGGGTCTTCGGCGGCATCTGCAGGGAGACGCGCGATCTCTTTCTCGTCTCGGTGGAGGATCGGACCTTGCAGTTATTAAGGAACGGATCGCCCCGGGGTCGATCATCCTCTCCGATTGCTGGAAGGCCTACAACTGCCTCTCTGACGAGGGGTTCGAGCACCTGACCGTCAACCACTCGTACCACTTTGTAGATCCGGACACGCAAGCTCATACGAACACGATCGAGCGGCAGTGGAGGGAGGCTAAGAGGAAGGTACCACTCTGTGGCCACAGGAAGAAGCACTTCGCAGGGTACCTGGCTCGGTGCATGTTCCTCATGCACTACCAGGACCTCAATGTGAGGTTGCACCACTTCCTGTGTGCTGCAGCGTCGCTGTATCCTCCGGCCTAGGACCTCCTGCCGGACGCACCCCGCCTCCTTCAATTTCTGCGTGAAGGGAGCACCCTCTCTACTATCGGCGGCATTTATCAATCAGGTTAGTACCTTAAAAATCCTAGGTTATTGTAGGTTATCGGCTCCGCGTTTAGTTCGTGTGCGCTCTATCCTGCCGTGAATACGTGGTGGAGATTTTGTTTCCTCGGCGGGGGTTGGGGGGTGGCTGCACATGGAAAGTCATGTGAGTAACCATGGTTATTTTCGCTGTGGATTATATTATTAGGGTAATTTTCTAGATTACGTCCGCTGCTCCGACCGCCGCTCCGACATCATCGCCCCCGATATAGGGCCCAAGTTTGCCGCTAACGGGGGTTTCCGCGCAATAAAACCTACATATTTGGATTGTGCAGAGTGAGAGGAATCCAACGATACCAAAATCGTCGATATCGGAGAGGCGAAGGTAATATAGAAAATTATGTTTATATATTTATATTTATATTAGTACAATTCCTACATAAGAAAACTGCAATAACTTTAACTTTAACTCCTGCGTCTCCTCAGTCAGTCGCTCGCATCCCCTGCTTTTATCCCTCGGGTGAAGGTACCTGCCGCGGGGGAGGCACTGATCTAAAAAAAAAGAAAAAAATAAATAAACGAGCAACTATTGTCTCTGATACGCAAATGTTGAAGCGCATTTCTGACAGTCGCCATATTGGAGGGCCTTAAAAGCAACAAGATACACTGTGTCGCACTACACAAAGAATGTATATTGCAGGCTGGGTATTAAGGAAGGTTGATTTGTAAAAGAAATAAATAATATATGTTCATTGCATTGCATAGAAACAATCACAGAACAGTTACTACCTATAAATGTGCAGAACACAGTGAATTGGAAAAGTTTTACATGGATTTATGATGAATTTCCTAAAGCCCGAAAGTTTGTTGGACAATTCTGTACAAATACAAGTATACAAGGGCCACAATATATATTTACTTTAGAAGGGATTTATGTTTGTTTACCAGTGTGGTTGAATTTTTGATGTAGCACCCAGTACTCTCTAAATATTCTGTTTATATTCTGCTTTGTCTCATCTGGCAGTACTGTTACACAGCGTCCAGAAAAGTACTCAACTTTCCTCCTCCGACCAATGAAAGAAAAATGGAAACCTTCCTCTAAAAAACAATGAAAGAAAGGCGTGGTTCGGGTGTCAAAAATTCATTTCTTCTGTTTTCAACTACCTTTTGCATGGTCATTGATTGTGCAACCGCCACCTTTTATGGGCTCTGCTGTGAGCACTACACATTTTTCTTTATATAAGAAACCCAGTATGCAGCACCTGAAAAAAAAAAAGAAACTTGAGTGCTGGAAAAAGAAATTATCTTAAAAACTCCTAGTTAGGCTTTCTTGTAATATATATATATATATATATATATATATATATATATATATATATATATATATATATTTTTTTTTTTTTTTTTTTTTTTTTTTTTTTTTTTTTTTTTTCTTTCTTTCTTTCTTTCTTTCTTTCTTTCTTTCTTTCTTTCTTTCTTTCTTTCTTTCTTTTCTTTCTTCTTTCTTCTTTCTTTCTTTTCTTTCTTTCTTTCTCTTTTCCTTTTTTTACGAAGTAACTTTCTTTACAAGAAGTCAATACATCAATTATTAATTTCTCTTCGTTGAGAGCCAAAAAGTAATCAATTTTTCCTTAACCTATTACCGTAAATGTAAGACTTATCGAGCAGGAAAACGAGAGAAATCTTTAAGAAACTGGTAAGGAACTTTCAGCACTCCAAAGTGAGAATTATTAAGAAACTTTCAGTACTTGCCCGAGTTGCTAGTGTACTTTCCTTTTACTACAACGTTTATAAAATTACATCTAATATTATATTAAATCTTTGGGGGCAGGTTTTAGCTCCCCTCTATCTCGGTCCTTGCAAGTGTCATACCTTTTTGAAATAAACTAAATATTATAGTTTCAATTAGCACAAACCTTTATTTGGTCTATTGTATGCAGCCTGGCAAAATTGATAGCTTTTAAACATTTTGATAAATATGTAATATGTATCACGATTTGTAGAGATTTCCATGTAGACTATCATTTAAGCTTTTGCGACTTTGGGTGCAATTTTGAAATCCATTTATATCTTTATCTGTTTATCCAAATCCAATTTTGCTCAAGTAGGCCTACTTTTCTATTTAAGGC